TATATAAGCTCTTAAAAAAAAACAAAAACAAAAACAAAACCCACTTTATTGCTAGAAAATGCTAACCACCATCTGAGCTTTCAGTGAGTCATACATAATCATTTTGCTGGTGAAGGGTCTTGTCTCAATCAGTACTTGCTGCTTTGCTGCTTCACCTTGCATTTGTATGTTTTTTTGTTTTGTTTTGTTTTGTTTTTAAGATTTTGTTTAGGGGATCCCTGGATGGCTCAGCGGTTTAGCGTCTGCCTTCGGCCCAGGGCATGATCCTGGAGTCCTGGGATCGAGTCCCACGTCAGGCTCCCTGCATGGAGCCTGCTTTTCCCTCTGCCTGTGTCTCTGTCAATCTCTCTCTCTCTCTCTCTCTCTCTCTCTCTGTCTCTCATGAATAAATAAAATCTTTTAAAAAATATTTTGTTTATTTATTCATGAGAGACACAGAGAGAGGCAGAGACATAGGCAGAGGGAGTAACAGGCTCCCTGCAGGAGCCTGATGTGGTACTCTATCCTAGGACTCAGGGATCATGACCTGAGGTAAAAGACAGACGCTCAACCACTGAACCACCCAGGTGCCCACATTTTTATATTAAAGACATGGCTTCTTTCCTTAAGGTTCCTGAACCAACCTCTGCTAGCTTCCAACTTTTCTTCTGCAGCTTATTATTATTATTATTATTATTATTAAGTATTAGAGAGAGAGCAGGAGGAGGAACAAAGAGAGAGGGACATGTAGACTCTGCATAGAACCCAACACAGGGCTCCATCCCAAGACCCTGAGATCATGTCCTGAGCTGAAATCCAGAATTGGTCACTTAACCAATTCAGCAACCCAGGCACCCCTCTTCTGCAGCTTCTTAACTCTCAGCCTTCATATAATTGAAAAGTCAAAGCCTTGCTGTGGATTAGGCTTTGACTGAGGGAGATGCCGTAGCTGGTTTGATATTGTATCCAGACCACTCAAACTTTCCCATATCAGCAATAAGGCTTTTTCACTTCTTATCATTCTCGTGTTCATTGGGGTAGCACTTTTAATTTTCTTAAAGAACTTTTCCTTTGCATTCACAGCGTGGCTAATTGTTCAAGAGGCCTGGCTTTCAGCCTGTCTTGGTTTTCAACATGCTTTCTTCACTGAGCTTATTCATTTCTAGCTGTTGATTTCAAGTGAGAGATGTGTGACTCTTTCTTTCACTTGAATATGGCAAAGCCATATGGACTTATTAATTGTCCTAATTTCAATTGTTGTGTCTCAGGGAATATAGAACAGTCAGAACACACACATTTATTAAGTTTGCTGTCGGGATGCCTGGGTGGCTTAGTGGTTAAGCATCTGCCTTTGACTCAGGGCCTGATCCCAGGGTTGGGGTTCAAGTCCTGCATCGGGCTCCTGCAGAGAGCCTGCTTCTTCCTCTGCCTGTGTCTCTGCCTCTTCTCCGTCTCTCATGAATAAATAAATAAAATCTTTAAAAAAAAATAAGTTTGCTGTCTTATATGGGTGCAGGTTTTGGCATCCTAAAACAATTAAAATAGTAACATCAGATATCACTGATCATAGATCACCATAATAAGTATAATAAAAAAACAAGTATAATAATATAAAAGTTTACAACCTATAATATACAATATAAATTTTATAATAATAAAAAAGTTTACAAATTACCAAATTACAAGTTTGGTAATTTAGAATTACCAAAATGTGACAAAGACATGAAGTGAGCAAAAGCTGTGGAAAATGGCACTATTTGTCTTGTTCGAGGCAGGATTGCCCCAGAGTTTCAACTTGTAAACAAATCTGTGAAGCACAATAAATCAAGCATTCCTATAAGTGTTTTGTGCTATTATTTCTAGCTGCAAAGGAAAGTCAGAAATAAGTGAAGAGTGAGCCCTATTCAGAAAGTGAGGTAGTGATTCTGGTAAATTGTAGTGTCAGAAAAGTTGTTTTTTTTTTTGTTTTGTTTTGTTTTGGTTTGGTTTTTTTTTAGAAGAAATGTGTTTTAAACAGGCTTTATGGAGATGCCTGGGTGGCTCAGTGGTTGAGTTTCTGCCTTTGGTTCAGGGCGTGATCAGAGGGTTCAGGGATAAGCCCTGCATTGGGCTCCCCATAGGGAGCCTACTTTTCCCTCTGCCTATGTCTCTGCTTCTCTCTCTCTGCGTCTCTCATGAATAAATAAATAAAATGGTTTTAAAAAAATAAACAGGCTTTATGAGAGAAAAAGTAAAAATGACATCTTCCAAAGTACTCTCTTTTGGAATGGAATTTTTACATACTGGAACAAATGAACCTGAGTGTGATGGTTGCACTAGCAATCAAAATTCAAATCTGAGAATAGGACTTTTGAGGCCGAATATATGAAAACTAAATTGTAGTGCTCGAGTTGTCCATTTACATCTAGATAACACTGCAAAAGTTGTTATAAACTTTGTCACATTTTCAAAAGAGATTGGCAGCCTCTGTGGTTAAAAATAAAATCTAAAAAAAAAAAAATCTAGGTTTGCACAGAAAAAGGCAACGTTGATGCTTTCTATTATTAAATTTAAGCATTTGTATCTAAAGGTGAATCAGTAAGCAATACCTCAAGGGCAACTTAAAATCAAAGTTACATTTTATTTTTTTAATTAATTGATTGTATTTTTGAACAGTTTTATGTTACAGAAAAATTGAGTGGAAAGTATAGAGTTTCCATATACCTTCTGCACCCTCCTCAGCTTCCCTTATTGTTAATATCTTGCATTAGTGTGTTATATTTGTTACAATCAATGAGCCAATATTGATACATTATTACTAAAGTCCAGAGTTCACATTAGAGATCACTTTGTATTGTACATTCTTGGTTCTGATAAATGTACAGTGACTTGGATCCACATGACAGTATCATTCAGGGCCTAAAAATCCCCTTCTTCACCTATTTATCCCTCCTTTCTTCTCCCAACCCAGGCAAATACTGATATATATATATATATTTTTTAGATTTTATTTATTCATTCACGAGAGCCACAAAGAGAGAGGCAGAGACACAGACAGAGGGAGGAGCAGACTCCGTGCAGGGAGCCTGGCATGGAACTCAATCCCGGGACTCCAGCATCATAACCTGGGCCAAAGGCAGGCACTCAACCACTGAGTCACCCAGGGATCCCAAATACTGATCTTTTTAAACTGTCTCCATACTTTTGCCTTTTCCATAAAGTTGCTTTAAAAAAAAAAAAGATTTATTTATTTGAGAAAGAGAGAGAGAATATGAGCAAAAGGGGCAGAGGGAAAGTGAGAATCTCAAGCAGATTCCACACTGAGTGCAGGGCCTAATGCAGGCTCAATCTCCTAACTCTGAGATCACAACCTGAGCAGAAACCAAGAGTCAGAAGCTTAACTAATTGTGCCACCCAGACGCCTCCATAAAGTTGCCTTTTTTAAAAACAAAAAAGATTTTATTTATTTATTCATGAGAGACACACACAGAGAGAGGCAGAGACATAGACAGAGGGAGAAGCAGACTCCCTGTAGGGAGGCTGATGCGGACTCTATCCCAGGACTCTGGGATCACACCCTAAGGTGAAGGCAGACCCTCAACCACTGAGCCATCCAGGCGTCCCTTAAAGCAAATATTTATGTCACATCTTGGCTAAGAAATCAATAAAATCAGCTACAAGAAGCACTGAACTACTGGGAAATTATAAAGAACAAAAGTAAAGGTCATTTAATATCACAAAGAGAAATAATATATAGCTGAATGAAATTACTGATGTGGAGATCACTGAGTAAAATTATGAACAGAATAGAAAGACACACACACACACACAGAGAGAGAGAGAGAGAGAGAGAGAGAGAGAGAGAGAGAGGCAGAGACACAGGCAGAGGGAGAAGTAGGTTCCATGCAGGGAGTCCAGTGGGGACTCGATCCCTGGACTGCAGAACCACATCCTGGGGCAAAGGCAGGTGCTAAACTGCTGAGCCACCCAGGGATCCAAATTTTTCCAATTTTCAATGCATTAGTTGACTCCCTTAAATTATTTATGTACAATTCTATTTCCCCTACTAGATTATGGGTTGCCTTTGTGGGATTTATTTATCTGTACATTACCCAGTCCTTAACACATAAGTAAATGGACAATAACTGATAAGTGGACTTTTATAAACAAAACATACATAAAAAGTCTCTTTTCACTTCTCACAATTCTCAATAAAATTGAATCATTTCTTTATAAATATTAATTTTTAAAAATCAAGTATTTCTTTTCTTTTTCTTTCTTTTTTTTTTTTTTTTTTTTTTTAGATTTTATTTATTATTTATTTGGGAGAGAGAGAGAGCCAGAGGGCAAGGGAGAGAAAATCTGAAGCAGACTGTGCTGAGCACAGAGCCCAACACAGGGCTCAATTTCACAACCACAAGATCATGACCTGAGCAGAAACTAGAGTTGGACATTAACTGACTGAACCACCCAGGCACCCTGTCCCCCAAATCAAGTATTTTTCAAGACAGTTTAAATAATAAACTTGAAAGATGCTTGTGATAAAAAAGTAAAAGATAAACAATGTAAAAAGATATAATGGAAAACAATAGTCCTTCCTTACCAACTCATTATTCTTATTTCCAGAAAGATAGCCACAATTATCCATTTTGTAGTTAGCCTTTCAGAAATGTGTGATATACTCATACTACTGTGTAATTTCATATACATTTTACCCTTAAAGGTCTTCTGGCTTCTGGTAAGGCCCAAAAGTTGAGAATCACAGGTGAAAAATAAAAGTGGTCAAAAGAGATGAGCTATGTAGATAATGTTTAGGTAGTTCTACAGCCATCTCCTATTTCCAGCCTATATATGAAAAGGCTAGAGAAATTGGAAAGTGAGGATTTATTTTAAGAGAATTATTACAGTGTATACTTTTCTCTTGTAGCAAGACACATAAGAGGTGCATCAAGAAGTGTACTTATTGAGAAGAGGGGTATCTACTAGGAAAAGGATATATATGCAATAGTCTTTTTCCCTTTCCTCCCCACCTGCCTATCTAGATACTTACTGAGCTACAAAAACCTGCTGAACAAGTGTTACAAGACAAGAGTAGAGCTTGGTGACAGAAATGGGAGAAGTTGACTGCTGCCCACTGCAATTGGTGTAAAGAGAGGCAAGTGTTACCTAGAAAAATCCAGTAAGGAGGATTTTTGCTTCTGGCAGTATGGTATACTAGAGGTTCAGTGAACCCCTAGCCAGCCTTATTAAAAAGAAAAGAGAACAGACTCAAATTAATAAAATCATGAATGAAAGAGAAGAGATCACAACCAATACCAAGGAAATACAAACGATTTTAAAAGCATATTGTGGGCAGCTATATGCCAACAAATTAGGAAATCTGGTAGAAATGGGTGCATTTCTGGAAAACCACAAATCACCAAAACTGGAACAGGAAGAAATAGAAAACCTGAACAAGCCAATAACCAGGGAGGAAATTGAAGCAGTCATCATAAACCTCCCAAGACAGAAAAGTCCACAGCCAGATGGCTTCCCAGGGGAATTCTATCAAACATTTAAAGAAGAAATAATACCTATTCTACTAAAGCTGTTTTGAAGGATAGAAAGGGAGGGAATACTTCCAAACTCGTTTTATGAGGCCAGCATTACCTTGATTCCAAACCCAGACAACGACTCCACCAAAAAGGAGAATTATAGATCAACATACCTGATGAGCATGGATTCAAAAATTCTCACCAAGATACTAGCCAATACTAGCACCCCAGAGTTCATAGCAGCAATGTCCACAATAGCCAAACTGTGGAAGGAGCCACGATGTCCTTTGACAGATGAATGGATAAACAAGATGTATAAATATATATGTATATATATATATATATATATATATACACATACATACATACAATGGAATATTACTTAATCATCAGAAATGATGAATACCCACCATTTGCTTTGATGTGGATGGAATTGGAGGATATTATACTAAGTGAAGTAAGTCAATCAGAGAAGGACAATCATCATATGACTTCACTCATTCATGAAATATAAGAAACAGTGAAAGGGATTATAAGGGAAAGGAGGGGAACTGAGTGGGGAAAAATTGGAAGGGAGACAAACCATAAGAGACTCCTAACTCTGGGAAACAAAGGGTTGTGGAAGGGGAGGTGGGTGGGGGGATGGGGTAACTGGGTAACAGGCACTGAGGAGAGCACTTGATGGGATGAGCATCGGTGTTATACTACATGTTGGCAAATCAAAGTTAAATAAAAACAAATGTAAAAAAAATAAAAAACTAAAGGCAAAAACTTTTGGGGAAAAAGTGACTAAAATTAAAGAAAAATATTTTTTCAATTAAAGAAAAATTTTAAAAGCCCTTGTGAGTTTATCAAAAAAAGAGTGAAGCATATATTAAAAATAAAAATATTAGGAACAATGAGAAATATTTATAGCAGAGATGACAAGAATTTTTTTTTGTTTAATTTTTATTTATTTATGATAGTCACAGAGAGAGAGAGAGAGAGGCAGAGACACAGGAAGAGGGAGAAGCAGGCTCCATGCACCGGGAGCCCGACGTGGGATTCGATCCCGGGTCTCCAGGATCGCGCCCTGGGCCAAAGGCAGGCGCTAAACCGCTGCGCCACCCAGGGATCCCCAGAGATGACAAGAATTAAAGTCATATTATATCCAATTCAATGGTGTGGAATTTGAAAATCCAGAAGAAAGATATTCAAACTGATTCAAGAAGTAGAAACTGAAATTTTCTTAGAAGAGGTTGGAAAAGTAATTAAAGATGTAAAATTTAAAATTAAACACCAAGACAAAATGGTTTTACAACTGTCTACCAATTCTTGAAAGATCAGATACTTGTGATGTTAACTAAATCTGAAACTCCTCGAATTCATTTCATAAACTGAGCAGACTCTTACTACAGAAACTGGTAAAGATCTATAAACCTATAGGCAGATTTCACCTATTAATATAGAAGGTAAGATTCTCTAAGTAAATGACCAAGTAAAACTCATCAGTATATCAATATAAAACACTGTATGAACAAATAAGGATATTTTGAGTAATGCAAATATAGTTTAATATCAGGATATCTGCCAGGATAGTTCATTATATCAATACAGTAATGGAAAGAAATCATATAGTAATTTAAATAGATAAAAGGGCATTTGGTAAGATTCTGCAGAAAGATCTAAAATAGACTCTAAGTAAAATTGTCTTAAGGGAGACCATTTTATAAATTAAATGTAATAATAATAATTTATCAAACAACTGAATAAACAGCAAAATCCTTCTAAAAACTCTAATATTGGGATGCCTGGGTGGCTCAGTAGTTGAGCATCTGCCTTCGGCTCAGGGCATGATCCTGGAGTCCCGGGATCAAGTTCCACATTGGGTTCCCTGCATGGAGCCTGCTTCTCCCTCTGCCTATGTTTCTGCCTCTCTCTCTCTCTCTCTGTCTCTCATGAATGAGTACATAAAATCTTTAAAAATATAATACAAATAAATAAAAATTCTGATTTTGGAGCACCTGGGTGGCTCAGTGGTTGAGCATCTACCTTCAGCTCAGATTGTTATCCTAGGGTCCTGGAATCGAGTCCTGCATGAGGCTCCTTTCAGGGAGCCTGATTCTCCCTCTGCCTGTGTCTGTGCCTCTTTGTGTGTGTCTCTCATGAATAAATCAATAAAATCTTAAAAATAAAATTAAAACTGTAATGTCATTCCGTTAAAAATATGCGTATGACAGTGGTGCCCCTTTTTGTCAGTGTTGTTTAATACTATTTGGCATGTTTGATAAACAGAACTATTGCCAAGATCTTTAAATTTCCCACGGACTTTGTATGTGAAAATCACATACTATTATTATCACTTCATTTAATGTTATATTATTTAACAAAATGTGTCTAAAAGTCTACACAAGAAGAAATCAGAGAAGGAGACAAACCATAAGAGACTCAACCAAAGGAAACAAATAGCAGGATGGCTGGAGGGGAAGTGGGTGAGGGGTTGGGGGTAACTGGATGATGTGCAATGAGGAGGGTGTGTGATGTAATGAGCACTGGGCATTATATAAGACTGATGAATAACTGACCTCTACTGAAATCAATAATACATTGTATGTTAATTGATTGAATTTAAATAATTTTTTTAAATGGAAAAAAAAAAAGAAAATGAGAAAACAAGCCATAGATCAGGCACAAACATTTACAAAAGACACACCTGATAGGGATCCCTGGGTGGCGCAGCGGTTTGGCGCCTGCCTTTGGCCCAGGGCGCGATCCTGGAGACCCGGGATCGAATCCCATATCGGGCTCCCGGTGCATGCAGCCTGCTTCTCTCTCTCTCTCTCTCTCTCTCTCTCTCTCTCTCTCTGACTATCATAAATAAATAAAAAATTTAAAAAAAAAAAAAAAAGACACACCTGATAAAGGACTGTTATCCAAAATATACAAAGAACTCTTAGAATAAGAACAATAAGAAAATAAACAACCCAATTAAAAAATAGTCAAAGACCTTAACAGAAAGCTCACCAAAGAAGGTACAGTGTACAGTGCCAAATAAGCATGTGAAAGGATGATCTACATCATATGTCATCAGGAAAATGCTGATGATAAGAATGAGATACCACTACACATCTATTAGAATGGCTCAAAATCAGAACACTGACAACACCAAATGCTGACAAGGATGTGGAGCAACAGGAACTCTCATTCATTGCTGGTAGGAATCCAAAATGGTATAGCGACTTAGGAAGATAGTCTGGTAGTTTTTTTAAAACTGAAGCTACCCTTACCCATATGATCCAGCAATCGTGCTGCTTGGTATTTACCTAAAGAAGTTGAAAACTTATGTGCACACAAAAATCTGCATATAGATGTTTATGGCAACTATATTCATAATAGCCAAAACTTGGAACTCACCAAGATGTCTTTAAGTAGGGCAGCCCCGGTGGCACAGCGGTTTAGCGCCGCCTGCAGCCCAGGATGTGATCCTGGAGACCCTGGATCAAGTCCCACGTCAGGCTCCCTGCATGGACCCTGTTTCTCCCTCTGCCTCTGTCTCTGCCTCTCTCTCTCTCTGTGTCTATCATGAATAAATAAATAAAATATTAAAAAAAAAGATGTCTTTAGGTGAATGGATAAATAGTGTAAATTCAGACAGTGGAATATTATTGAGTGCTAAAAAGAAATGAGGTATCAAACCATGAAAAGACATGGATGAAACTTAAATGAATGTTACTAAGTAAAAGAAGCCAAACTAAAAAGGCTACATAGTAGACATTTATGACTATATGACATTCTGGAAAAGGCAAAACTATGGAGGCAATAAAGATCAGAGTTTGTAGTGATGTCTCCGTGGCTCAGTAGTTGAGTGTCTGCCTTTGGCTTGGATTTTGACCCTGCCATCATAGGATCAAGTCCCACAAGGGGCTCCCTGCAGGGAGCCTGCTTCTCCCTCTGCCTATGTCTCTGCCACTCTCTGTGTCTCTCATGAATAAATAAATAAAACCTTTTTCCAAAAACTTTTTTAAAAGGTCAGACTGTCTAGGAGTTGGGGGAGAGTTAGGGACGAATAGGAAGAGCAGAGTATTTTTAGGACACTGAAAATAGTATTAACTATTTAGATACATGTAACTATAAATTTGTAGATACATGTAACTATGAATTTGTCCAAACTCTTAGAATGTACAATATCAAGAGTGGACACTAATGTATATTATGGAATATGGGTAATTATATTGTGTCACTGTAGGTTCCTCAATTGTAACAAATGCACCATTCCGGTGTGGGATGTTGATACTAAAAAAGGCTGGTGTGCGTGTAAAAGGTATATGGGAAATCTGTACCTTGATTTTGCTGTGAAACTAAAGCTCCTCCAAAAAACTTAAGTCTTTTCTTAAAAAAAAAACAAACCCTGCATTTAAAATGAAAAAAATTTAAATGCATTGTTGAACTGATGCCAGAAACAATAAAGTTTGAATTGAATCCGTGGGCATAAAATAGAGGTGGTCTTTGCCCTAAGACTATCTGTGTTTAGTGTGGATAGACCTGAGTTTTAGTAACTCATCTATACCAGGAATAAGAGGCAAAATCTGGGGCCTGAGAACAATGAAATATCAGGTAAGAGTAACCTCTGCCTGAAAGTAAAATCTGGAAAGAGTGATACTCTCACTAAATAAACTAGGAAGAACCACAGCACGCAATGTGAAATTGTGATCATATGTGCATGTTTTGTCTTTGGATCTGGATAGAAGAAAAAAATATATATATCTCACCTCAAATATCCTAATCATAGGCTTCGAGCCTATATGGTCCATAATTCTCCAAGCCAACAATTTAAAGAGAACCAGATATGCAATGATTATAGTTACAGAATTATCAGAAACAGAATACAAAATAACTATGTTTGATATACTTCAAGAAATAACAAACAGAGGGGATCCCTGGGTGGCTCAGTGGTTTAGCACCTGCCTTCAGTCCAGGGCCTGATCCTGGAGACCTGGGATCAAGTCCCACATTGGGCTCCCTGCATGGAGCCTGCTTCTCCCTCTGCCTGTGTCTCTGCCTCTGTGTGTGTGTGTCTCTCATGAGTAAATAAATAAAATCTTTTTTTTTTTTAAAGAAGGAAACAAATAAAAATCAGACACAGGGAAAAAGACTATTGAATCGGGGTAATGAGATTTGAAATAGAACAATACAAAAATTCTAGAAATATATTTACAATTAAAATTGAAAACTCAGTGGATAGATCAAATAGTAAGTTATACCTAGCTGAAAAAAGATGGATAGACCTGCAAAACATATCCAAAAGAATAACACAAATAGAGCACAGGGAGATCAAGTCCCCACATTGGGCTCCCTGCAGGGACCCTGCTTCTCCCTTTGCCTATCTCTCTGCCTCTCTTTGTGTCTATCATGAAAAAATAAATATTTTTTTTAAAAAAATAACAAAATTATAATTTAAGTAATACCAAACTTTTAGAAATTTTTTAAAAATCTTTTTTTTTTAAAGATTTTATTTATTTATTCATGAGAGACACAGAGAGAGGCAGAGACACTGGCAGAGGGAGAAGCAGGCTTC